TTTTCTTTCTCCTTTCTTTTGTCACCCACCAATCTTTCTCTCGCTTCCGCTGCTGCAGCCAACGCTCTTCTCGACTCTGGTGTCGACGAAGGCCTACCCCTATTCCTCCGACTCTCCCACTACTCTCAACGGGTTGAACGGCAGCGCCGGGGCACCTTTCTCAAGCTTTACCACTTTTGACCTATCCACCTTCACTCCTCTCCTCCTCAACTCCTCTACATCCTCGTCAGTCACATCCGACCCTTCCGCCACTCCGAAGACACTGTCTAGGTCGGGTGCTTTTTCCGACTTTGCCATCGATCCATTCAACGAATTGCAAGCCCCTCCCGCACACATTTTCAGCCTAGCCATGTACACCTTTCCCGTGTCGATCGTTCGTCCGGCAACTTTGTCGTAGTACTTTCTTAAACCATGCCTGTATTCGTAGATGTATCACAATCAGAGTTCAAGGAGATAACAAGCGCAACGGTATTAAAGTGGAACGCAGTATATCGTAAGAAGGCGAGATCATGAAACAACACTCCTCATATGTCTATGTCTATATGGTTCTCTCTCATTTCAAGGCCTGACGTGGTCCTTCTAATCCAAAATCTCCACGACTTGCTAACCGTCTTGCACATGATCAAATGCTTGCAGTCACTCTCCTGCTCTCTATATCTCTTTCCTCGAGACAAGCTCATCCCCTCTACTAGCTTCCCGAAGATCCTTGCCTTGCAAGAATACGTTAAATCATCAAACTTGGTCTTATACTCTATCCTCGACACTACTGCATTGAACAATCGCGAAACTCTTGCTAGAGTGCATTTTCCAGCTCTCCATACATATCTTCTCCTTTGTGGTCTTTGGTCGTACCATCTCGGACCTCCAGTTTGTAACGTCCATCCTTCCAAAGCACGAGTAAATATATCTTCCGTCACATCTTCCGGTAAGTCCCAAGAACTGCAAAACAAACCGCAAAAAAAACGAGTTAGCTCCGAACACTCACTTGATAAACACCAGCTGGCCCTTTCCATCCGCCGTCTTGTTGCTTGAGAACACCGTCACCGGGCACTTATCTTTCTCGGTCACCATCCCCACGCAAGCAGCACAATCGTCGACGTCTAACCTTCCAATCACCCACTCCGTCCTTGCGTACCTTTCTTCCCCTTCCACTAACACCTCCTCATCGTCCGCCTCCCCTCCCTCCTCAACCCTTTCTTCCCTTCTCTCTTCCCCTACCACTTCTCCTATCTCTCCCCTTCCTTGCATCCACGGTCCTGCCCCACCCTCTCTTCTCTCTTCTTCGTGCTCCATCTCTTCCCTTCTTGCACTCTGACTTTTAAGTTCGTCCCACCTTCTTTTCTGTGCCTCCACGTCCTCTTCGAGCAGCGAAGCTGTGTCTTCTTCCGGCTCGAGGTTCAGGTCCATATTCTTCTTCCCCGATCTGAACTCACTCCCTCGAGGCCACCTCTCGATCCTCGTCTGATCGTGTCTATGCGTGCTCCGCTCCGTTACTTGACCCCCTTCCTCCCCACCTCTTCTCACAACACCGACCGGCCCCCCATTCCCGACTCCTACGCTCAGTCTTGTTCTTTTCACCCTCTCGCTTTCCACCCCCTCTATCTCCTCCCCTTCTTGCCGATCCCTCTCCAACCGTCTCTTCCTCTCCTCCGCTCTTTCCCGAAGCTCCCCAGCCGCAGGGCCACTTCCTGTTATTCCAGCTCTCTCGAACTCCACCCTCTGTGCAATCTGCACAAGCGCCGCTCGCGTCTGGTTCTGGACCACATCCGCCGGAGTCGGATACCCTCCTTTCTTCCCCCCTTGCCTCACCCAGAAGCCGGCATTAGCAACCTCTGCCAAGTTACTAGTCGGGTTGATGAAACCCGCCACCATCAGTTCCTCGTCCACGAAGTCCGGATCCTCCGGCAAACCCCAATGCCCAAGCTCATGCGCCCTGCATGACATTCATTTGCCAAGATCTTATATTGAATACAATCAAAACCCCAAGTGCAACATTCAAAGAGAGCAACAATTCATGAATGTAATCTTATGCTAAAAGCTTTGTCCCGTCCAACGGGAAAACAAGACACTGCACAGTCCGCAGTACATTTGTGTACAGAGTTCAGCATTTTTCGAAAAGGAGAATAATAGCTGGTCAATAACATCTTATGTTTTCCCGTTCAACGGGAAAACAATAATAGAAAATAATTAGAGTCTCGGAACGTCACGACTCTCACCTGTTAAACCAGAACTCCGACCAGCTTTTAGCCTCCTTTCTCAGATCCCCGTTTCCCAAGTGCCTGTCGTACCATTCCTGAACACAAGAAAACAAGATGTCGATTTCGCAGACGCATGTTCAACAGCTACTCTTCGCAGAACATGCTGCTGTGTAATACACAGCTGCAGCCCACTCGATTATCAAGTCAATTGTCAAGAGTTCAATAACCTACAAGATTGACAATCAAACTTATTATCAAACAGTCTGCTCATTTTGTACCATACTTACTCTCAGCTTCCTTTTCGCATCCTCTCGCTCGTTCTCTTTCGCCACCAGAAACTTCTTCACTTTTTTCCGGTGGTCTTTCACCATCCATTCCTCCGAAAACTTCGCCTCAAACTGCCGTAGACTCTTCCCCCAATGCCACTCGCACTCCACGAACTGGTTTCTTCCATCTTCTCTTTCAGGAAACTCCTCTCTCCACCCTACTCTGATGCCACCAGCCGCGTCTGCACTGATCTTGAAGGAGCTGAACTCGAAGGGCTCTACTGCAGCGAACTTCCCTTCCCCTGTAAATCCCTTACTGCACACCTCTTTGAGCAGGCGGCAGAACTCTTTGATGCATTCTCTGCTTTCTGAAGGGAGTAATGCTGCTGCTATTTCGAGAATTCTTTTTTCCGTCGGAGAGTACACTAATGCTTGGAAAAGATAGTCTGTTCCTCCAGTCGTAACCTTCTGACTATCTACATACAGCGTCTGCCCGTATAAGTCTTTGCCAGGCGTGCTCATTCTATACGCCGTCCCTAGTCCTGACCCCATCCCCTGCGTGCTCATCATGAAGGTGCAGGGTATTCTCCCGCTTCCTTTCTGAACTTGCTCGGGATACTGCAAGAAAAAAACGAAGTAACTCAAACAACGGAGCTGACGAAACCGCTTGATAAGGTCACAGACTGAGCTGAGAATACACCGGTACATGTCGCATACACTAATGTAAAGTCCAGACAATGCTACATGGACACCCACATTCCTTAGCACCTACCACGATGTGTTGCACGTATTCGAAAGGAGAGTTCGCCATGAACTCCATTTCTCCGTACTTCTTCGTCAAATCTCTCTGACCAGCCGCCGCAGCGCGGCCAGCCTCTAATAGACGTTTTGCTCGCGCCAAATCTGTCAGGGGTTGTATCTTGTCCACGAGTCTGCAAAATTGGAATACTAGTTAGTCCCGTTCGACGGGATGAACAGACTTCTTATGGATTTCCGATACAAAAAACTATGTTCTTATCTTTGTCAATACCGTGTCTCCAACAATATTCGTATTATCCCGTTCAACGGTATAAAACAAAACTCAATATTATGCACAATTAGGCTTTTTTTAAAAGACCATGCTCTTTTTCTAACAACTGCAACGTTAGTACAGAAAGTAAGGTACTTACTTTTCTAGGGACTGGCCCTTTGTCATTTCCTCCTGCAATGCTTTGTCGACCTCCTTGTCCCGGAATTGAACAGGGGACTGCAAGAACAGACACGAGTTCTTCTAGCATGTACTACTTCAATAGTCTTTGAACTTCAATTCTTATACACTTTCTGAAATTCTCCATCTTCAAGGACGATTTGGATTTTTCATCCAAACAACTTTCCATTGCATGTACCAGCAACAAAGAACACACATCTTTCCTACCTGCTTTGCATCTCTTGAAGCCGCATTAACAGCTGCCACCATCATCCTCTGCACATTTTCCCCTGACTCTCCTTCTTCTAGCTCATGATTATGTACACCAGAGTGAACTACAAGCATCTCATTTCCTCCCCTAACAACTATCTTTTTTCCTACGCATTCTCTACCTGTACTAAAGGCTTTTACCCCACAAAACGCACACACTCTCCCTCCAATGTTGTCCAGTTTTTTGAAAACTTTTCTGTTCCTCTCCCGATTCTCGCAAAAATACCAACAAACATCGTTCAAGCACTCAAAACCACCGTCGCACGAGTAGCATCTTATGCTCTGTACGTTTTCTACTTTGTAATTCAAATGATAACTCTTCTTCCAATGACTCCCCTTATCATCACCCTTATCTACAATCGTCTTTGACAAGTCTCTCAGAAAAATGCAATCTCCTTGGAGTGGATATGGCACATGTGCAACTACTGGAACTTCCACACCCTCTCTGTCGTATTCCTCACATAGTCTTCTCAATGTCGAAGATCTACGGAGCCCACTTTTCAACACTGCATCTCCAGTTACACTGTCCCTCACCTTAATGCTCTCTCCTACACTGTACGATTTTCTCTTCCCTTCTGTCTTCTCTGCTGTGTGTACTTTTGCCTTCCTATCCTTTGGCACCTTGAACCCAACCCCTGAATTAACCTCGTCCTCTCTTCCCCTTATTTCGATGCTTCCCGGAGTGCTAACTTCGCTCTCTCCTCCCCCTCCCTTACTGCTTCTAGCCGGCAATAGTTTCGATACCCCACTCTGTCTCCTCGCCAACGAGTCAAGCAGACTGCCCCTAGAAACGCTCACAGAGGCCACCCTTCTCTGCTGAATGCTTCCCGCCTGCGAGAACTGCCCTCTTGTTCCCAGAAGCCCCGAGTTTCCAGAGCTCAACCTCTTCCTAGCCGAATCATCGGACGAACCCGACGCCCTGCTGCCCGAACGAGATGTGCGGAGCCCCTCCGCCACATAGCACCCAGGCCTGAGAACGAAGGTGAAACGCTCATCCAGCCACTCCGGAGACACTTCCGCACGAGCGTTCTCTCGGCGCACCGTTACGCTACCCTGAAACCCTTCGCCAAAGAGCTTCACCAACAGGACCTCTTCAGGCACGAGTGCCACACCCTCCAATCCAGCAAGGACAACGTGCTCACGCCCGGCCGGTCCGCGAATCACCACCTCCAGATGACTTTCATCGTCGCTTCCAGCGCCGACCTCTTCGCCCGACTGCGACCTCTGGCTACCCTTTACTGGAGTGACAATCACGTGTCCGGGAGGGTTTCGTGGAGGGGAGGGTGTTCGTTCTCGAGAAGGGCTAGGTTTCCGACCAGCCGCAAGCGGGGTGACGAGAACCTTCGGTCCTGATGGAACTTCTAGGCGCGCGGTACCTTCTAGCTCTGTCTCCGGTACAGTTTTAGTGGCGCTCGAAGCTCCAGCCTCGGGCGTCGATTCCTTCGCCGCAGAATTTGGCTGGCCACCGGCCAAGATCTCCGGTGGAATTGCTTCCCACTCTCCGACGAGGGCATTGAGATACGGGGACCCGTTGGAAGCCATGATCTGTAATGATAAGGACAGCACGACAGTGAATATTCGAACATAGAATCATCGCTACAAACGGCAAGAGGCCTTGCTCCGTTGAACGGGACAAAGCGGCATATCAATATAGGCCTTGCATCCTTTCATCACTGCTTGTCTAGTCCCGTCGAACGGTACAATACACCAGCTGCATGTAATACCCGACCTATTGTCCCGTTCGACCGAACAAAAGAATCGGTCGAATAAGCTTAATAGACATTACCTTGTTCCAGATCAAACTCATGTTCAGTTGTGCCGTTCGACGGAACAAAGTCTATTGAGAATAACGCTTGTCCCAATTTTTCGTGATGTTCGAGGCATTTTCATATCAAGGTTGCTGCTTAGTGCCGTTTGACGGCACAACAAAGGCCGATCGAACAAATGATTTCTGAAAACAGTACCACATCTCTTGGAAAAACATGCTGACGTCAGCATTACGTACCGTTTGTGCGCAAGCCGTCCAAGGACCTCGATGTCGACTATGCTATCATAGAAATGACGAACGATAATCCCGTTCGTCAAAGTATCGACCCCGTTGTGTACACCCTATAGAGAACCTGCGTACACCTAGCTGCAGGTTGTTGTGGGCCGAAGACAGACCACGTGGTACTTTAAGAACCAATAGTATTGCGCCATTCCGCATGTATCGGTTCGCGAACCAATGGTGTTCGTGCATGAGAGCGACAACCTTTCGCAGCCTGTAGAATTTGACATAAAGGTGTACACTAAGGCCTGTACTCAACAGATAATGAAAGACTGCTTAAGCCGTAAGACTGGGGGTCCTCCCGTTGAAAGGGGTGACATCCTCTGAATAGCCCCTTTCGATTTCATTTCCTCTAGTTGTGGAAGAAAAAGGCGCTTCTGGGAAAAGGCCGCCGCCGTAGCGTTAATGGTACCATTACCGTTTTTTATCAAGTCACATCGAACAGTTGTTCTTCAGTGAGCGATCTTCGTATATCTTTTGTCCCGTTGAACGGGAGAAAGGTTGTTACAGAGAAGGACGATGGAGCGAGATGCCGGCTAACGAAGGTGCGAGCATTCTAGATAGTCTTCGAGATTTTCGTGAACAACACCCGTTCAAGTTTCAGCCGGATCTTGATTATATCATAAAGTGGTTTGAAGAAACTCCTGAACGCTCTTGGGGGGGCTACGTTGGCCAGCAGTATCGGAATTGGGCAATCAATCTGCTCGACAGACACTTTCAAGAAACAGTTGGTCAAGTTCCAGATACAAGCGACTCGGAGAGTGGAAGCATGGAGCACAGCGAGGAAGACCGTCAGGAAGAGGCCAGGTCGCCGCCTCTCAATGTAAGGCAGGGGCTGGGCGAACAGGCAGCAGAAGAGCACGAAGAACAGAGAGAGGGAGAGGGGGCAGCCCAAGAGGGTGGGGTTGGCGCAGCCATGCACTCACAGGTAAGGACTCTTGTCCCGTTGAACGGGACAAAGATTTATCCAAAGGAATCTTCCTACGTCGATCGAGCCACTTGAGAAGTTACATCCTAGTCTGGTCGGTCCTGCTTTCTGAACAGTTCTCCCGTTCAACGGGAGAACCAATGTCGAGGGCTGCCCTATTATGGAAACAGCAGATTGATCAAGGTTCTGCTTCTCGGTCTGTTCTCCCGTTCAACGGGAGAACCAATTTTCAAGGGCTGTCCTATGATTCGAACTACAGATCAGTAAAGACGCTT